GAGAAAGCAGTATGACAATCAAGGAGGCCATAAACGCGCCCTACAATTGTAGGGACGACTGACGATACGGGCCTAAGACAAATCAGAAAATTTCGTGCAGAAGGTAGGAAAATATACTACCCAGATGGAGCAAGGGGTTAACGCTGGGCATACACAGGCGAAGGTTTAAATGGATTCTTCCATAAATTCTTCAAAACAAGCGTTCTTGAATGGACTATCCACTAGATTAAAAAATCCCTCAGGTAACATTACAAAACACATACGTACGTGTTTCTGGTATGATTTCGCTGACACGTACATATTTTTTAATACTTGTTGGGTTTTTAATGCTTTCAATAAGTGTCCAAAATGAATTATTTTTAACAAAAGGGAAGCGATTGATAATTTGCCACATCGGTAACGAAAATCGACTTGTATCGGATGCTTTATAGGCATTTGAATAAAAAAAAACGGGAGACTACCATGAAGAAATGGATGAAGCCTCGTTGGAAAATTGGTTTCGGTTATAGTATTATTATTATAAAATCACAATTCAAGGATGGCTTAAAAATAAAAAGATTGATTATGATGATACGATGGTTAAGGCAGAATAGTTAGAATTGTCAAGATTATCAAGAGAAAAATAAATAAAACCTGAACATAATTGATGAAATTGTCAAAAAACAAAATAAAACTGATTTACGACTGCCTCCTTACGATTGTGAGCTCAATCCGATTGAGCTCATATGGGTAGACATAAAAAAATATGTTGCAGCAGAAAATAAAAGTTTTAAATTTTTTATGATGCTACACAAAGAATAACACCGAATAAGTGGGAAAATGTATTCAGCATGTAAAAGAAAAGGTCGAACCTAAAATGTGGGAATTAATTTATGTTTGGATCCTATAGATGCCTGCAATAGTTTTGCATACTTTTTGATCGTGTCGTAAAACCACAAATCATTTATTCTTTGTTTCTTCCCTGTAACCCGCTCGGCGTTCTGGATCACGTGGAGTGTACGTAGAATGTGTTTAGGTTTGGTCTCTTTCTTCGATGGGTACATAATAAACATCCTAATACGTATTAATACATGCCTGTTTCTACCATAGCCGGTCAATTTTCCGGTTGTAATAGATAGCGATACGTATACTTGTCGCGACAAGTGTTACTCAAAATAAACAGTTCAAGCAAATTATAATTATATAATTAATAAACATTATAACTTCTCAAATAGTAGTCTCTTACCGGTTACCTGCCAGGATGGGACGATTGTAACCGACTCAAAGGCTAAGCCGAAAGTGCTTGTCAAGGTCCAAATAAGACCTAGCCTCAAGTACTCCTCACATGTTTGTGGTGCTTCCACTGCAAATATACTAAGTGACATATAAATCCGAACACCCAGTTTAAATGGTTTTATTTTAATAAAAGTTGGTGAATGTATTTATCTTACTGTAAATAACAAGTGAAAAAATTTTCAGCCTTATCAGTTGGACATTCCGGTTTTTATACTGCTTTTTTCAATTCACTAACGCTCTAAAAATGAATATTTCAGCCGCAGTAAATAATCAACGTTGGCGGATTTTGGTTCTTGACATCCTTTACGATCGGTTACGATGCCTAGAGTACGGAGACCTGTACGATTTCGTCAACTTAGTGAGTTTGATAGGGGCCGTATAGTGGGACTTCGGGAAGCTGGACTTTCTTTTCGGGCAATTGCAGTTAGAGTGCAAAGAAGTGTAGACACTGTGGTTAGGTGTTGTCAGGCATGGCTTCGAGAAGGCCGTACGCAAAGCGCAAGGGGCACTGGACGCCGCCGTAGAACAATAGACCGTGAAGATCGCCGCCTAAGATTATTGGCCTTAAGGGACCGTTTCTCCACTACCAGGTCCATTGCAAATGAATGGTTTGCAGAACACGGAAGACCTATTGGCATGCGAAGTGTTTACCGACGAATGAGAAGTTTTGGCTTGTTTTCATACTGGCCACACTGGGTCCTCCCTTTAACTCGAGAACACCGACATAATCGCCTTGAGTGGTGCAGACAACGGTCACTCTGGGATCAGGAATGGAACAGTATTGTCTTTAGTGACGAGTCTCGATTTTGTTTAGGCATGCACGATGGTCGTGCCAGGGTTAGAAGGCGACGTGGTGAAAGGAGGAATCTAGAGTTTTTTGTTGAGAGACATGTTCATCACACTGTTGGAGTTATGGTTTGGGGTGCTATAGCTTATGGTTCCAGGTCACCTTTAATCTTCATCAGAACGCGCAGCGTTATATCCACGAAGTTCTAGAACCCCATCGTTTACCCTATCTTGACACCCTGGCAGATCCACCTTTCCAACAAGATAATGCTCGACCACATGTTGCAAGAGTCACAATAGACTTCTTTCAACATAATGATGTCACATTGTTACCATTGGCACCAAGATCTCCCGACTTATCCCCAATTGAGCACGTGTGGGATATGATGGGTAGGAGATTGCTCAATTTGCAACCTCCTCCTCAGACTCTAGAAGCACTTCCAGAGGAGTTGGTGCTTGCCTGGAATGAGATACCACAGGAGGTCATTGACCACCTGATCAGAAGCATGCCTAGGCGCGTTGGAGAATGCGTAGCACATCAGGGTGCATACACACATTATTAAAGGTCAAAGGGCTTTAAAGCAGTGCAATCATTTTGAAAATTTTATTATTTACTTATTATGCTTCATTAAGTACTTATACAAAATTTTATTAAAATAAAACCATTTAAACTGGGTGTTCGGATTTATATGTCACTTAGTATACATTGCCTATGCTCGATACTGTTCAGAGAATGGATGTCCGACTAATCAATTACTATTCTCTAACGGACACTCTCGAAACCGTTTCGCACTAATGGGCCGTCGGCGATGTAGCTCTTTCCTACCACTAGGCTAACGGGTTTTGCTCCTCAGAGGCCTCCTCCCTGATACCGCCGCGCGATGTACCTGCCACTCAGAACCTCCTGACTTCGGCCTTCTATTCGAACCGTGTCAAACTTCACCCATTCAGAATTGGCCGATACGACTGCTCCTTTGTTCTTCCTGATGAGGCTTTTCCCAGTTCTACTAACCTCGGGAGGTTCAAAAATCGGACTAACAAAGTCTCCTTAAGCTCCTCATAGGAGCTGCGGTGCTCTGGTGTTTAGGCTGCTGCTTGCGCGGCTGGTTTGGTATTTAAAAAGATGCAATCATGAAGTCAAATGTGCACAAACGATAAAATGAAATGCTCAGTACGCAGTAGTTCATAAGAGGTCTTTTTACTGGAGATGGTTTGTTTAATGTTAAAAGTTTTCAATTACAAAAATCCATTTTCTTTCAACTGAGTCGCATTACTTCAAAAATCCATTAAGTTTTGTATATTTGTTATTCGGAAACCAGTTCAAGTCGGAATCATTTTATTTCTTTATACAGGGTTTGTCCGGAATGTAATAGGACTCATTTTCTTCTGCCATGACTGTACTTCGGAGCATGCGCGCACCGACTGAATTCGGTAGAGGGCGTTCCTAGCTAACGAATGAGCGGCTGGTCAGTTGTCTCCGAGCACTTGGAGAGTCAGGACAGGCATTTTCGTGTTTCTGTGAGTGGTGCAAACCGAAAATGCAGCGTTCGTTAGAGCAGAGCTACGCGATTAAATTCTGTGTGGAACTCGGTAAATCTGCGACAGAGACGTTTGATATGATCAAGCAGACTTACCCAGGTGTTGCTTTAGCAAGAAATGGTGTGTCTCGGTGGCACCAGGCCTTTTTGAAGGGCCGGCAAGAGGTCGCTGATGTAGACCGTGCTGGAAGACCTTCGACTTCGACAAACACCGATAATGTGACTCGTATGCGCAAAGTTTTGAACTCAGACCGTCGACTAAGTATTCGTTTAATTGCACAGATGTTAAATTTACCAAAATCTGTGGTTCATGACATTATGACACGGCGTTTGAAGATGCGCAAGGTGTGCGCGAAGGTGGTCCCAAAAGTGTTCACTGACGACCAGAAATTGCGGCGAGTGGAAGTATGCCAAGAAAATTTTAACACGTGTGAAAGTGACCCCCAATTTTTGAATAACGGAATTACAGGTGACGAGTCGTGGATCTTTGAGTATGATCCCGAGACAAAGAGGCAATCTTCCAAGTGGCACACGGCGGCGTCTCCTCGCCCAAAAAAGGGAAAAGGGAAGAATGAGCAAATCCAAAGTGAAAACGATGCTCATTGTCCTTTTTGACATCAAAGGCATCGTCCACCATGAATTTGTTCCTCCTGGACAAACCGTCAACGCCAAGTTTTACGTGGAAGTGCTCAGGAGACTCAAACCAAGGCTCAATCGGGTCCGACAAGACATCGCAGCCGACTGGAAGTTGCACCACGACAACGCCCCGGCTCACACTGCCTCTCTTGTGCACAGCTACCTGACCAAGCCGGCATCTCACCGTTTCCGCAGCCGCCCTACAGCCCAGATGTGCCCCCCGGACTTTTTTTTGTTTCCTCGCCTGAAAAGGCCGATGAAAGGCAAGCATTTTGAGACGACAAAGCAGCATACACCGCGGCTCTCAAGGCTATTCCGGAGAATGCCTTCCGTGACGCCTTCAATGCTTGGAAATCGCGCTGGCCGCGCTGCATCGACGCAGAGGAAGCCCATTTTGAAAGTTTTTAAAGAATTGTAACGATTGGCTCAATACATTTTTTTAAATCGACTCAGTCCTATTACTTTCCGGACAAACCCTGTACATATCAATCATCTTCGCGTCCAAAAACTACACGCAAATTACATTGGCTGAGTCCTGGAAAAATTAATTTTGGACCTAGGACTTCATTCATCCTTCATTTTGAGCCGACACAAATATTTCTCAAGCAATTTATACATTGAGGACATTTGACACACATTCGTCGAGAATGCCCTACCAAAACTTCAAGAGAGAAAAGTTCTCAGCTTTTCAGTACGTTAGTTGACATTCACGCTTCGCGGGATCTGGTTCAACATTGTCAGATTAATTATTTTGATTTATTCTAGGTGTTCTTCGTTCTACGAAAGAGGTACCGACAAGTAAGCTTCCTGCACGTCTATCACCACTTTGGAATGTTCACAATGCTGTGGGTTGCAGTGAAGTTCTTCGGAGGAGGCCATGGAACGTGGGTGGGACTTATCAATAGTTTAGTCCATGCCGTTATGTACACGTACTATTTGCTCTCGGCGATCGATGAAGAATGGAAAAAGAATGTGGCTTTCAAGAAGTTTATCACACAGATACAGATGGTGGGTATTTTCCAGGAGCTCTCGACAGACAGAAGGGTCTGATGGAACTGCTTTACGACCCGCCTAGAATCTAAGATGCTCAGAAAGCTACATACTTAAGAAAGAGCAAGCCGATCATAGTAGAGGCTATGTAGTAGTGGGCATTTATTTACTCCATTATACAGGGTGTTTCAGTTTATTGTTGCATAACTTTAAGATTTGATAGAACTTTTAAAATTAATGCATAAAGTCTATATAAATATGGGTCGAAAAATGCGTGGCTTCCGAAATACAGGGTGTTTAAATTTACTTTCTAAAATAGTTTTTTTTAAATATTTCGAAAAATATTTGATATATAACAGTGAAAATTGGTATTCAAGGGTTTTTTGGTACGACAAAACGAACCATGGGCATAGTTTTACTGTAGCCGCTAGAGGGCGCTCTCTACTGTACCTGTAGTGTATTAAAATGACCGAAAATGTTTTCTTAGTGCAATTTTTTGCTTTTTGAATATAAAAACTGATTCTTCGCACCTTTCAACATAAAAAATCTCTCCTGTGAGTTTTCGGTATAGTTAGCCGTTCCTGAGATATTTCGATTTTTAAGGTTTGATGCATTTTTAATTATTTATGGGAAAATAATATTTTTTTTTACATTTTTGATTTGGGCATTACAAGTAATTAAGATGATCGTTTAGATTGTGTTTTTAAACACAGCAATAATTTCTAACTCCAAATAAACACAAAAAACAGAATATTCATTAGTTTAATTTTCCAATATTATTTTTAACAAATTAAACTAATTATTTACAACTAAGATGCTATTGGCTAGTTAGGACAAACATACAAAATCTAAAGTAGTTGCTCGAAATGTAAACCCAATTGTTCAATACACAATTCACATCTACGAATGATCGAACGTGGTATAGCATTATTCAAATAAGGCCTTATTTCATCACATGTATTCCTGATTCTGTCTATTAGCATATCTCTTGTGGTTACGGGAGTCTGGTACACTTTTTCTTTTAGAAATCCCCACATAAAGAAATCTATTGGATTTAGGTCAGGGGATCGTGGAGGCCAGGCGACTGGTCCTCCACGGCCGATCCATCTTTCTGGATAATTTTCGTCCAGCCAGTTTCTAACTATTCTCGAATAATGAGCTGGACAACCTTCAAGCTGGAACCAGGCCAATCATCCCACATACATATTTGCATGTTCAGCCTTTAAAAATTCCAAGAAGGTCGCAGCATTTAACCTTGCAGACAAAGGTAGGGTCCAAATAGTCGATTACGGTAGATACCAATCCACACCTTCACACTAAATTCATGCTGAACATTTCTTTCCCGAACTGCATGCGGATTTTCATGCGTCCGAATATGTTGATTATGAAAATTTACCACTCCACGTCTAGTGAAGCATGACTCATCGGTCCATAAAACGTTACTTGAAAACTCCCTATTATTCTCTGTTCTATCAAGAATCCACTGACAAAATGTGATTCTTCGTTCTCCGTCCCCTGGCTGTAGTCCTTGCACAGGTTGCAAATGGTAAGGACGTCTATGGTCATTTCTAAGAACACGGTGAACATGGCTTGCTGAAATTCCCAAGGCACCAGAAACTCTCCTAACACTTGTGGTCGGATCTCTATCAAACTCACGCAGCATCACACAGGTAAATCTGCGCTGACGAACATTTATGTTTTGATCCCTTTGGAGATTTCCAAAACCATTTTCAATTATTTGGCGATGCACTCTTACAAATACTAAGCGAGTTGGATGTCGTCTGTTTGGAAATCTTCGTGTGCATTCTCTGGCTGCTTCTGCTGCGTTTCCATTTACAAAGCCATATACAAAATGAATAACCGCAAACTCTTGATTGGAGAATAAAAATGGCATTTTTATAAAACTTCCAAAAAAAAAAAACAGGTAAAAGAAACTAAATTTCATGCATTCACAATTGCAAAAAAACGTTTCAGGTTTCAACAGACAACAAAACTAACTGTCAACTAATTGACGTTTAACCTTATTCTGCTTTCAATTTCAAAAATATTTGCAGGCACAGACTACTTCTAAAAATTATCCAGATACTGACTTTTTAACGTTATTTTATCATAAATAATTAAAAATGCATCGAACCTTAAAAATCGAAATATCTCAAAAACGGCTAACTATAACGAAAATTCACAAGAGAGCTTTATTATGTTGAAAAGTCCGAAGAATCAGTTTCTTTATTCAAAAAGCAAAAAATTGCACTAAGAAAAATTTTTCGGTCATTTTAATACACTACAGGTACAGTAGAGAGCGCCCTCTAGCGGCTACAGTAAAACTATGCCCATGGTTCGTTTTGTCGTACCAATAAACCCTTGTATACCAATTTTCACTATTATACATCAAATATTGTTCGAAATATTAAAAAAAAACTATTTTAGAAAGTAAATTTAAACACCCTGTATTTCGGAAGCCCCGCATTTTTCGACCTATGTTTATATAAACTTTATGCATTAATTTTAAAAGTTCTATCGAATCTCAAAGTTATAGAACAAGAAACTGAAACACCCTGTATGCTCCCGCACCTTCTTTAACTCCATGTTACCAAGCCCTTAAACTGTAGTTCCAAACTGTGATGGAAGGAAAGGGTGGCGTAAAATGGATGTAATGGCTTGAATTGTTTTAAAATACTAATAATGCTTATTAGAAAAACGTACAGAAAATCGCTGACATAGCACAACTTAAAAAGTATTAACTTGAGCTTTTGTTTACAAGAGAAACTTATTGCAATATACTGTTATGAATTTATATTTATATTTTTGTGTGCATTTCTCTAGCAATGTATTTTATTAACAGATTTTAACATGACCTGCTTGTATGTTATTATGTATGTGTGGGGTAAAACTTGGAACTGAATTTTGAAGCAGTTGAGCTGGAATTTTGGAAACACGTTTGGTTTGGGTAATAATAATAATAACCCACATGATATCGGTATCAAATAAAAGAGATTGATGAGAGAAACACAGCAAGGAAAGAGTCGAAATTCTAAATACAATATGCCGGTCGATGCGATTTACAACTTACAGATTTCATGTTAACGAAAGGGCTTGATGAGAGAAACACAATCAGCATAGTGACGTCATTCTAGGTCTATTATGGCGGCTGCCACAAAATGACGATTTGCAGTTTTTCACAGTCACGCTTATAATATAATAACAATAACCGTCTTTATTATTGGCATAAATTGATAAATTGGTAAATAGAGAAATATATAATTTTACTGAGTCACTAAACGGGGAAGTTCAGCTTGCTTGGTTCGCAGTACCAGGCATCTGCTCTTCCATTTAGCCCAGTATCCTCTGCACTGTATACAAAGAAAACCTAAGCCCGGCACACACAAAAATGTTATTGTATAAAGGGATATACCTAAATACTGAAAAACTACTGGGCTGTAAACTTTATATATCTGATATGTGAAGCTTGGTTTAAAAAATTACATGTTGAACTTGGGTGGGGAAACGAGACCCTTATTTCTTTAATTTATATTATGAAGGTGAAGGAAAAATATTTTTTACGCATTGGGGTGCTTTGAATAAAATTACCTTATGACAAAGAAACGCATGAGTGGAGGTGCTTGCGATTTTTTAGATTTAACCAACATGCATCTTCCAATTTGTTAGATATTCTTTGTCTCCGTTATATTCCGGATGCAAGACGTAGACAGGAATTTTGTAGCATTTGAATTTCACACAGGTTAGTTAAATGTGAGCCGTAAAGCACATCACCGTAGTTGAATAATAATGCAATGAGTTTAAGTTTTAACGAAAGGAATCTTGGGCTACCATTAATCGCTTTTAATGACAAATATGCTTTTAGTGACATGATACGAAAATTGATATCAATTAAAACACCTAATTTTCTAACGTCGTCCAATATCTTGAGAGTTGATCCATTTATGTTTGTTATATTTTCATGATTTTTTGGCCCAAAAACTATTATGTGAGACTTTGATGAATTTGTTGGAAGACAGTGGCACATTCTACGTTAAAGCGTTTAGCTCATTATTTATAATCAACGAAAAATCAGCAATTAAGATAAGTTGTGAAATTAAATGTTTAAATTAGGAGTAAAAGCGGTCGACGTCCATTTTTTAAAACAAGCTTTCATTAGCTGTTGAAAAAATGAACTAAAAACTTAAAATATAATTTTTCCGATTGGAAATGTTTAAACGATAGTGAAGCTCCTTCATCTCAAATATTCCAATAAAAGCATACTACGAGTAGACTCTTTTTCCATCCTGCTGTCAAAACGTTACCACAATAACAGTATGGGAAACAGAAGTTGAAAGGCTTTTATGCGATCTTAGCATTCGTGCCTAATCTCCCATCAGTATATCATATCTTTGGGACAATTTCATTTAAATTATCGCATAAATAAAAAGGTTATAAAGAACTTGAACCATAACATTTATTAGGCGCCACACTTTACAGTAGTATCTCGATACCATCAAAGACCTGTTCCCTAAGATTTTACTAGGAGACTGGAAGTTGGATTCATGTCCAACCAAGCCTCAAAAAATGTTACCTGTGATGAGCAAAATGCGTGAAAATAATGATAATATCAAAATACATATTTCGAGCATCACCGCTTGATTAGCGACAGCCTCTATGTTTATGAACAGCATAGATAAACTAGAGATCCTGATCTTATGGATGAGTTATTGATCACGTTGCTCTTGTTATTCCAAGAGGCATTCTACAGATGGGTGACTGACTTACTTTTTGATCAGAGATTCATCGTTATTGATTGTCTGTTCTGTTCATCGCACAATGTCAACGTGCGTCTTCTTCAGTGGTCGGTTTTTGGCACCATTACTGCCTGGAGATGCAATAACTTGGTGCAGTTTACTTTATGTCTGGGATATATAGGATGTGGGAAACACTGCCATTAGATAGTTCAAAAATAGTAGCTGTGGTACCGAGGTCTTTCGGCTATGCTACAAAAAGGAAGCTGCCACAGAATATACTGAAAAAAGACATCTTTCCTTCTTTCAGATTCAGTTCACCATCTTCATCATAATATACGGCAGGTTGCTACTAAAGACAGACTGTCAGTACCCAAGGCTCTGCTCGTACTTCTTCGTTCCGCAGAATTTCTTCATGCTCATTCTGTTTGGAGACTTCTACAGAAGAACGTACCTGAAGAAGCAGAATCCAGCGCCCACGATTGAGGACAGTGAAAAGGTAGGCATAACCGAGAATACTACTACCGTTCTTTTGGATCGTTGATAACGTGTAATTCACAAAAATTGACCGCTGGTCTGTGTGTTGGTATTTCAGCGTTCTGCAGAATAATGTGTAATATCAGACTGAATCGACATTATTTGTTTCATGCTTTTCATTTTCTGGTGGAATGAAAGTTTGTCGATCAATCAGTAAAGGGTCTAATTTTAGAATGACATGTATATATATTGTATTTTGTAAATTCTCGTCTTTGAGCGCTTTTGTCGCACTAGCACAAAAATTGAAAAATAACAGATCATGCCCAAATATTGGGAGTACGTTTAAACCTGATATCAGTAGTCATGGGATAGCTTTGTCAATATGACAGCTGTTTTTACATTGTTGTCAGATTTGATAGTGCGCTGACAAATGTTGAGAACTGTCCAAGCTATTTCACGGCTACTGCTATTGTTCATAAACGTAAATTAACGTCATTCGGGCATTAATGTATTCACCATATATCCTTCTTTGTTCATTGATATCATGTATCTATTTCTTGTTTTTCCTTGAACAAAACTATTAATTATTATTAACTAATGATTATCATCAAAATACTTACTTTTTTGGCCTTTTATCTTCTACTAAGGCCAGAAGATGTATTGTATAGGAAATCATGAAACGACGACGCTACCGCTATCGCTGTATCGTGTCGGTTTGGGGGAACCTTTAGAGTTTTGGCGATATCTGAATAGGTCATTTTGGGGTATGAAAATGAAGCTTTACATCGTTTGTTGTCCAATCTACGTGGACCTCATTGCCTAGATTGTATTCCAAACACATGTATTTTGAGTCGTGTTTCTAATGTTTCTTTTTGTTTCAGACGAAAACGAAATAGCATGCGTCTCCACAATAAATAATAAAACATTTCTCTTTTTTGAAATCGTATATAGTATTATAATATACCCTGACATTTGAGATAAAAAAGTTTTGATAGCTGTGCTATTACATTTATTTATTCATATAAGTTCACACATCCGGTCATACTTCGTTGCATATGTATACATATGTGAAAAATTAGTTAATAAAAGACGTCTTTTTCCGAAAAAGTGTTTTTTTTCTTGAAGTTAGAGTTTCATTCAAATATATTTTTCTCCAACTCTGCAACAGGGTTATAAAAGAAGTCCCAATATCCATTAAAAGTATACTCGTGAATAAATGAGAGTATTACATGAAGTAATCTGAGAGAAAATGATAGTGGTTTTTCACCTTTCAGGTATTTTCGAACACTGACAGAAGACTTATTTTCAGAGTCATTGTCGGTCCAAAAAGATCGAAAGTTTCGCACTGTCATCTCTAAAGACAAGGTTTACTTTTGGGTGAAACATTTTATGAAAAGAAGAACCTAAGAACATGTTACTTTATCGAAAATGAACTTGTTTGGCCAACTTCAACAGCTGTAAGAATTTGGGATCATTTGCCAGATAATTGAACCACGCCCACCTTCTGTCAGTGATCATACACCCTCGTTTCCAATAATAGGGGTGCGGGTTTTCTTCAAAGATATATCTATTTTTTCAATGAATGGTTACAAATTTCAATAGATAAATGGAGCGTTTATTCAGACATTAAGTTTCTTTTTATACTTCTTTTTCTCATAGACGTCATACCTACATGATGGTACATCATTGCTTCCCTATTCGCTAGATGTGCGATGACAACACCGGCTAAAGGTGCGAATACATATGCGAGCCGAGCGGTTCGCGAGCCGCTTGTGAGCAACTTGTTCGGCTAATTGGGACGGGGTTTATGGTTCCAAACGAACTGCTTGTGAGCAGCTTGTGAGCAGCTCGTGAGCCGCTCGCGACGAGCCGCGGCATGTCGGTTTTTTCGACGAGCACAAAGGAATTCGCAGTGCATATTGGGACGTGTTTAGACAAGGTTCGTTGTTTTTCTTTAGTTCGCGAGCGAACTTTATTTTTCTTCAATAAAGTTATGGATTCATGGTCGGAAGAAAAAATATTATGTCTGATAAACGTTTATAAAATCAAAACGTTATTATGGGATCCTAAAACTGAAAATGACTTCAAAAAAATTTGAAAGAGGACGCTTGGCGGGAAATTGCGGACGAAATGGAAACCACTGCTGAAAAGTGCAAAAAGAAAATAATAAGCCTCTTAGCTTCTTTCCGCCGGGAGAAAAATAAAACAAAGCAGGGGACTAGTACAGGAAAAGGTAAATAAATGAAATAATAAGATAAATTAGTTGTGTTTTATTTAAATAATAATACAAAATATTTTTGCTAATACTAATTTAATTTTTAATTCAACTAAATAATATGTTTTTAATTAAGTTAGTTCACTTGCCGTATATAATTTTAATCTCGATTTTAATTTTCAGGAAGAGATGAAGTTTATTGCAGCAGATGGTTTGCCTATGAAGCGTTTAGGTTTTTAGAAGACAGAGATTTGCCACGAAAAAGACTTGCTACGGTAAGTAATTATTGTTATAAATTCAAGCATATTGGTCCTGCCATTCTAGAGCTCCATTATTTATAAAATAATTAGCGATTTCATCTCTAACTTTTGTACAATAGTTTGTGGGTCTTCGAGGAATATTTCGTATATGTTAGGTACCATAGACATCATATCTCCTTCATTTCTCCATGATCCCTCAGTTAAATTTCTATTAACTTCATATTCTAATGTGCCAAAAGGGGTATAAATATCTGGTGAGTGTTTTCTGAGATAACGATGCAAAAGAATGACTGTCATTATAACCCACTCTGCTTTTGCAGGCTCTAAGAGCATTGGTTTTCTTAACACCCTAAACACTGCACTTGATATACCGAATGCGTTTTCAACTATGCGACGACCCCTACTCAAACGATAATTGAAAAATCATTGAGGAGTTCCTTTTGGAAAGTCCCCAGTATAGGGCTTCATGAGATTTTCGCTTAAAGCAAATGCGCTATCGCCGGCAAAAAAATACGGTATTTGCATAGAACATCCTTCTAGTTCTTCTGGTGTTGGAAGTCCTAGTCTGTTTTCTGTAAGCTGCTGATATAATTTGCTTGCCTTAAAAACCCCCCCATCAGAAATTCTTCCTTGGCAGCCTACGTCAGCAAACATAAAGTTATAATCACCAACCAGTGCGAAAAGCACAATGCTAAAATTGGATTTATAATTGAAGAATTCGGTACCCGATTTCACTGGTGCTTGTAAAACAACGTGTTTTCCATCTAGGGCACCAACACAATGAGGAAGATTCCAACGAGTTTCAAATATCTTGCTAACTTGTTTCCAAGCTGTGGGAGTCTTAGGTAGCTGAAATGAAATAACAATTATTAATTTTGACCTGTTTTATTCATTATTAGCTTATCTTAATAATTTATTTATTTAATATCATTTTTTGCGCAACTTCTTTGGTGTATTTTGGAATGAGATAAAACCACCCTTCTCAAATAATAAAAAAAGGAATCGCTAATACTATGTTGACACAATTTCATTTCAAAATTTCATTATTTATAAACTACATATAAAGTTACTGAAAATGTATTTAATAGGAGCTGGATGATGTTAACGAAGCTGCCCTATCTTCCGAACAAATGGAACAAGAGACGATATACCAGAGACACCTACGCTACCATCTACCTCCAAATCTACAAAGCGATCAAAAACAAAACAAGATAATGTTTCCTCTCCAATAATGAGTGATGCATTTCCGATTTTGAAGAATGCTGCGAAAAAATGGACAAAGAGCCAACTCAACCCAGTGAAATAGATTTATTTTTTAATTTTGTTGCTGCAAAGGTTCAAAAATACCCCCCTCCAATACAACAGACAATTCAACATGCCGTTTTTGACCTTATTATTGAAGCTGATAGAGGATTTCTTAATCCGACTTCAATTCAATCTTATAATGATTCTCAACCTACTTCCTACATACAGTCACAAGCTACCAATCATATCAATTCACAACCTACTTCTTCGATGTATTCCCAACCTACTTCACATAATCTATATTCTCAATCTTCTGAAACTTATTATTCACAACCTCTGCAAGTAATAACCGTTCCTGCAACTTCTGAACCATCATTGTCCAACCCATCATCGCTACAATCACCTGTTTCGTCACTCACATCAGAAAATTATGAAGATTTTGTGTAACGTTTTTGAGTTCTATTTTTTGTTTGTTAACTTAGTGGTGGAAGTTACCTTAAAGTGAAGAAAAATATATTTTTGAATTACACACAGGCCTTTAATTTATATATTAATGTTGTTACCTTGATATATCCCTGCAATTCCTTAATAAGTGCAGCACAAACTTGGGGTACTACACGCCCAATCGACTGCTTGGAAATTCTGAATAGATACTGAAGGCTAGTATATGAATCTCCCGTGGCAAGAAACCGAAGTGTTACGGCTAACCTAGAATATTAATTTAAAAAAATTGTTAAACAACAAAGCTACCTATCCACGGTACACCGACTTACCTATCTTGGGCAGAGATTGGAGTACGAAAATAAGTCTCCTGTTTTGAAATATGGGGTCCAATCCTTTGCAGCAGATTCTCAAAGTCAGTAGGTGTCATTCAAGTGAAATGTTTGTACTGTCCGCTTATTTCTTGCGACTTTAGGTCCATTAAAATTCCCGTACCACTGCGTTTCTTGAATAAATTAGTACGCCACCAACGTCGTTGTCTTCTCTTTTTTTTATTTACATCAGCCATTACCAAAACTGCAGCACTCATCACTAAAATAGTATAAATTTCGTTTCGCGAAGCCATACTGCATTTGTCGACTGCGATGTTTGTTTGCGTTTGGTGTGCTGAATCTGTCGATCGCTGGAGGTTCGCGGAAAACATCATTTCAACGAACCACCATCGAGCGGCTCACAAGCGGCTCGCTAACTGCTCGGCTCGCATATGTATACGCACCTTAACGGATTGCGATAATGTGTTCGCAGGGTATTTGAGGTTAGGAAAAATGAAATTTCAAACATACGCTCCAATCAATTCGGTTTCCTCTATTATGCACTTTGCTACCGGCGAATACAGCAACACACTGTCATTGAATTGCTTCTGTGCGCCTGAGCCCATAAACCGTATTAACCGTTTCTCAGAAGATACAGTCTTTCAGACATATTTTTTTTGTCATAAATATACCACTCAGATACTTTTTTCGACCTTAAAATAACTACAAAAAGATTAAGATTACACAGACTTATATCGGACAAAAAAAATTTGCCTTCTAATTTCATGAAACATAATGTGCTTAGACATGTTGAAAAATCACAATAAACTTCAAATGATAATATTTCTAATTATTCGTTTTGTTACAATTTTTTGAAGAATTAGCAGTATTTCTGAAAACAGGATGGTTGTACAATTGCCAATGACTGATCATTCCATTAAGATACCACAGATACAGGAACAAAATTACTTAATTTTCATTCAAGTTATTCTTGACTGATGATTCAAATTATGTAGTAAGGTAGGGCGTTAGAAACTGGGATAGTTTGATTTCTGCAGGAACATATTTTTTGGGCCGCTGAAATTTCAAGTAGAGCCAATGTATCCTTGATAGCTCATATAACGCCAAACAAATTTCTCCTGACAACCGTTGCTAAGTTAAAATACAGATTAACCTCTAATTAAGCAGAGCGGTGCAAATGAAAGAAATCTCGTTACAAGTTTAACCAAAGCTTGCCTGCAGTAGAATCGGAGCGTGGTTTTGATTACTAGTTTCTAAATTATTATGGTACAGTCAAAATATATAATCTATTCATATATATATATACAGGGTGCTTCATCCATGTGTGGTCGGAATATTATATAATATCATAAACAAATACATTTTGGGAAAATATATTTATGACATGTTATACATGACATTTCTAAAATATTGGCAAAAAAATCTCCTTCGAAGGCGAAGAAATCCAGCAAGGGAGCTCCGACCAAGAAGCCAAAAGCACCAAAACCGAAAACGGCGAAGGCTGCAACATCGCCAAAAAGGAAGGCCGCTTCACCCAAAAGGAAGAAATAAAAAAAATTTAGACGTGTTGCAACGTCGTAGATTACGACTACGTCGGTTCGCGACGTTATACTCGTATTTATGCAAGAGGATGCTATACGTCCCCGCGGATTGAAAGGTGTGAAAGGGTGTCCAAATATTGACCTACATATCAAAGTTGTGATTTTTTAAATGGAATGCATCAATTTTTATTGCATATTTGGATAAACGAGTTCAAAAGAAGAAGATTGACATAACATACAATGGGGGTTTTGGTAATTAACTACTGAGATGTAAGGTGTTTTGTCCAGAAAAACCGTCCACTTCGGCAACCCCTCAATCCGCCATTTTGGAATTTGGAGTGCTGAATTTTGTATAAAAAAAACTTATATACCTCTGCTTTAATCTCATTTGTTACTTTTTTGATTTTAAATTTTTGCTCATACAAGGTGGTCAAAGACGCTAATTGTACTAACCCTCAAAAATTTAAAATGCATATTTAAGCAAATATGGATTCAATTTTTTATAAGCCTTTTTGGTAAGAGGCTTTATTCATATAAAATCACTAGATTTTGAGCTTTTAATAGAACAATACACCAAAATTAAGGAAAAAATATCACATGATCCATAGAAATAAATCACAAACTGTGGGCTACTTCCATAGAGCCACTAAGAGTACAGATTTGACGTAAACACTAATAACAGTCAGAACAGTATAAATCAGCTTCAAGCGTAATAGAGAAAAACAACATAAACAAACAACTATCACTACTCAAGACCTAATCTACAAAAACTGCTCGAAAATATATCCACCATGTTGAATACACAGCCGCAGTCGTTGGATAAATGACCGTTGCACATCCCTCAGCATGTGTTCCCTTATGTTCAGAAAAGCATCCTTAATCCTTTTCTTCATATTTTCCGGGGTAGATGGTAGATGTCTATAAGCCCCTTGTTTAACGTAGCCCCATAGAAAGAAGTCCATCCGTGTCATATCTGGTGATCTAGGAGGCCAAGATATAGGCCCATCACGATCGATCCAACGGTTGTTACTCCAGGTGTCCAAATAGTTACGCTCACGATTATGATAATGCGCAGGTGCGCCGTCATGTTGTAAACAAGAGTTTGCTAGTTGACATCCTCCAAAAGCAAAGGCAAATGCTCGATCAAAAAATTCAAATATTCTGTACCTGTTAATCTGTTGTCGAAAAAGAAAGGCCCGATAACTTGTCTGCCAATAACTCCTCCCCAAACATTCAAGCTTTATTCATTTTGGAAATCTATTTGCCTAACCCAGTAAGGGTTTTCCGTCGCATAATAGTGCATGTTATGCCTGTTGACAACACCTATGCTGTTAAAAGTTGCCTCATCTCTAAAAAGAACCTTATCCAGGAAAGTAGTGTCTTCACTCACTTTATTTAGCATTATTCTACTAAACTCCATTCGAGCTGCTGAGGACGAAGGCCTTGATGCAAGCATAGGTGATATGGATGGTACCTATACTTGTGAATAATCCTTTGGACAGGAGTTCTGCATGTATCAGGTTCTGCTCCAATTTGCCGTGCACTTAAATGGAGATTTTCCTGAAACTTTAATAGAACCTCCAACTGATTCGCTTCATTGGTGACACTTGAATCATTTATACATTTTTTATGATATTCCACTGCTCCACTTGATTCAAAACGTTCTCGTAGTGTGGAGAATGCTTTTAGCCATGGATGTCGCATACTCGTATTAGGGTACCGCTGCCTATAAATGCGAGATGCTAGGCAACTATTTCTTTGGGCTTCGCCCAAAACGAACACCATATTCACCATTTCCAAACACGTTTTATAATGCTAACAAAGCTAATTTTGACAGTTTGTAACTAATCGACAATTTATTTGTTTCCAAGGATGATGCGATATTTTAAGGAATTAAGCCGTTCCATAAAAGACGTGCTAATAACCGAAAAAATAGCCGTAAAAACCCTTATGTGTCTAGCATCAGAAAAAGCTTATAAAAAATTGAATCCAAACTTGCACAAATATAATGGCAGTGCTGCCAATGTATACTAAGTGACATATAAATCCGAACATCAACGTTGGCGGATTTTGGTTCTTGACATCCTTTACGATCGGTTACGATGCCTAGAGTACGGAGACCTGTACGATTTCGTCAACTTAGTGAGTTTAATAGGGGCCGTATAGTGGGACTTCGGGAAGCTGGACTTTCTTTTCGGGCAATTGCAGTTAGAGTGCAAAGAAGTGTAGACACTGTGGTTAGGTGTTGTCAGGCATGGCTTCGAGAAGGCCGTACGCAAAGAGCAAGGTGCACTGGACGCCGCCGTAGAACAACAGACCGTGAAGATCGCCGCCTAAGTTTATTGGCCTTAAGGGACCGTTTCTCCACTACCAGGTCCACTGCAAATGAATGGTTTGCAGAACACGGAAGACCTATTGGCATGCGAAGTGTTTACCGACGAATGAGAAGTTTTGGCTTGTTTTCATACCGGCCACACAGGGTCCTCCCTTTAACTCGAGAACACCGACGTAATCGCCTTGAGTGGTGCAGACAACGGTCACTCTGGGATCAGGAATGGAACAGTATTGTCTTTAGTGACGAGTCTCGATTTTGTTTAGGCATGCACGATGGTCGTGCCAGGGCTGGAAGGCAACGTGGTGAAAGGAGGAATCCACAGTTTTTGGTTGAAAGACATGTTCATCACACTGTTGGAGTTATGGTTTGGGGTGCTATAGCTTATGGTTCCAGGTCACCTTTAATCTTCATCAGAGGTAACATGAACGCGCAGCGTTATATCCACGAAGTTCTAGAACCCCATCTTTTACCCCATCTTGACACCCTGGCAGATCCAACTTTCCAACAAGATAATGCCCGACCACATGTTGCAAGAGTCACAATAGACTTCTTTCAACATAATGATGTCACATTGTTACCATGGCCACCAAGATCTCCCGACTTATCCCCAATTGAGCACGTGTGGGATATGATGGGTAGGAGATTGCTCAATTTGCAACGTCCTCCTCAGACTCTAGAAGCACTTCGAGAGGAGTTGGTGGTTGCCTGGAATGAGATACCACAGGAGGACATTGACCACCTGATCAGAAGCATACCTAGGCGCGTTGGAGAATGCGTAGCACATCAGGGTGCATCCACACATTATTAAAGGTCAAAGGGCTTTAAAGCAGTGCAA